TAACTGGGCATCTGATCTTCCATATGTTGCCTAGCGCTGGTAATACTGCATAAAAGGCTGTATGGCACAGATAAGAAGCCTGATGTCTCTTTCATGTTTGAGGCTACAGTAAGAACAGGCCTGAGGCAGTTTGGGGGAACTATGAGAGTCTTAATGGAAACCTCTGTAGAGCACTATGTTGGGAACTAGGCCAGCTGGAATTCTGGAAGCTTTAGTCAAAAAATCTAAACAGATTTTAGTACATCTGCTCCTCAATAAGCTGACAAGGTCTGCAGCAATAGACATTAATAGTTAGGTAACCCCCACGACTGGAACTTTTAAAGCTCCATCTGAACCTGTAAAGCATCATGAGATAGTAGCTTGCCTAAGGCTAAACAGCCTAACTCTTCCACAAGGCATAGTAGGACTCCTGGCTCCTCAGGGAATTGTCACTTTCTTTGGTTCGTGCTATTAAAGGGCAGTGTTCTCTTTATAGAGAATTTGTAGCTGAATTATAATAGAAATAGAAAAGAGTGATCTATTCTGATACCTTTCCTGTTATCTTACTGGTTGGCAGTTGCCATGTGCTTTTTACCTCCATTTTGAACATGAGACTAGTGTTTGTCAGGTTTCAGGGATCTCCTATCTGCCAAGAACAATTCATTTATGTAAATTGTGGACTTGTGTTACCTTTAGTTTGATATGCAGAAGTTTAATGAATGCTTTCCTGGCAACAAAATACATTAGTACTCTTATGACCACAGTCAATAGGGGCCACTATTCTAATTGCCCTGTGTCTGAAAAGGTTCTTGAACTTTTCACCCTACCAATGTTGTGGATTCATTCTGATTTAATTGTAGTCTCCATCAGAGACACAATCCTTCAAAGCTGCTGTGTTGGACTGTCCAGTTGCCAATGATTATACAGAAACCTGCCGTCTGGTTTCTTATCATGATGCTGTAACAGAAGCTTCTGCTGTTTCTGAGGACATCCCTGAAAACCATTGAGGATGACAGGTGGAGTCAATAATTGCCACACAATTAGACATGTTATTTCCCTCAAATAGGCTTGCTATTTGTGAGTTGCTATTTTGTGTCAAAGAAGAACTTTTCCAGTTTCCTGGGCTTTCAAGGGGGAAGTGGAAAGACCTTGGGAAGAACATAGGCCTCAAGGAACCACTTGCTTGAAACAGCAGCCTAGTCGGGTCCTTGTGAGTAGATTAATTCATAGGAGAGCTTGGAAAATATGCTTCTTAGGACCACAATTCCCAGCCGGTGGATTCTGGGAATATTAGTAAAAAAGGGAAAAGGCCACTTCAGCCTTTGGGAATGAAAGTGACCAGATTCAAATCTTAAGGGTCGCAAGGATTTCCTTGAGAAAGAGGGTTGTGCCAAGAGTCAGGCTCGGGCCTTCCCTGCTGGCAGGTCAGCTAGTGAGTAAAAGGGCTCTAGCCTTCTGATGGATGCGGCCCATTGCCACAAGTAATCTCTGCCCTTTGATCCACTTTTTGCTTTGTGAACTTTAGGCACACAAAGAATAGCTCTTGGATTGACCAAAATCTGGAGAAGGAAAGGCTGGGGCTGGCTGGACATGAGGCATGCTTAAACATATGGAGTCTAATGTTCTGGACTTAATCTAATATGGTTAAGGAGGAAGACTGCGGAATTTCTTGATCTTACCATCCAGAGAATTAGTTATAGTTTTCGTTGTTGTTAATAATGTATTGTTTTTATTCCACTTTTTAAAATACAGAGCAATACACAACATCATAATGAGCAGTTTCATCAACACATTCTCACAACTAACAAACTGGAGGCAACGAGATATATAAAATAAGATGTGTATTGCATAGGAAAACTGATGGGTTCTCACTATGACCATCACCTACAGTGTAGTTTCTGCTCCATCTTTTATAAAATACTACAGTTCCATGGTATGTGAAAAGCCAAACACTAGGAAACTGCCTCCTTTGCCGTGCCTGCTTCATATGATAGTGGTAGAACTGATTTCATTAAAACACTTTGTAATAAAGTTCCAATTGTAACAGAGGCTCGGAATACTTTTGACTGCAGAGTAATTTAGTCACAAATAGCATCAGAACTTAACTGCTCAACACTGTCATGGTGACAGAAGCCTTTAGATGAAATCTCTGTTTTCTTACCCACAATTTATTAATATTCTTGGGAAGCTGCTGCAAATGTTGGAGCCTGGTTGTTATAGTAAAAAGAACAAAAAATTGAAATTGGCTTCGACTCTTGGCCACTTGCCAGGTCACCCAGCTGTACAGCAGGCTCTTACCATCCTCTCCGTCCTCAACCTTGTGATTTGGCCTTTGTGCCCAGCATTGGGTAGCAGCTGCTGCTGCAGTGAAAAGAGTTCCAGCGACTTCTGTGTGTGTACCATGTGGGTTAGTGGGATTCAAGGCCATGGCTGTGTGTACACTGTGTTGGCCAGAGCTTAGACAAATTGTTGTTTTTGACTCCCATAATCCTAACTGGCATGGCCAGTGGTTGTCTTCAATGGAGTATGATGGGACTTAAGAGTTCTAAAATGTAAGCTGTAGGTTTGAAGTAGCAGGCCAAAAGTGTTTTCTTGCAACTTTCACAGATTGAGGTGGTGATATTAAATTGCATGAACGTCAAGAAGAATAAGACCTCTTGAAATGTGGAGTGTTACGAACAACATAGATAATGCCTTAGGGAAGGCCAATTGTTAAATAGTGTGCTAAATAGGGTTTTATTTCGGGAATTCAACATTGATGAAGCAGAGGTGGGCAACTTGTGGCCCTTCGGATGTCGTCGTGCAACCTCCATAAGGCCTAGTCAGCCTAGCTAAGGAGGATGAATTATGGAAGTCACAGTCCAACAATTTCTAGAGGGCCTCGCATGGCTCAGTCCAACTTCAAAGGAAACCTCCCTAGATCTCACAATGTAACTCTGGACTATGGACCCATAAATAGGATAATGTGAGTGTGTGCAACCATCGAGTGATACAAATAAATGGTGGGGTAGAAGGAGAGGCCCTGACGAGTTAATGTAGACTCATGCTTGAAAAAAATGTGTGTCACTGTCAGCAGGATATCCTTTGGTGAGAAAGGAAGAGGTTTAAACTCTGAGTGCTCTAGGAGTCTTTTAAAATGTGTAATTTAAATGTACACATCAAGGATAAAAATGTGTGGTGTTTAGATAAGGGTGAGGGATACTGGGGGTTCCAGTCTGACAACATTTGGAGGACCTCACTCTGGCCCTGCTGCCCTCTCTTCCTCAAGGCATCATAATTTTTAAAACCTTTAACTTGAGGTATTGGTTGCTGCGAGAGGTAGAACATCAAATGATGACAGTCATTAATCTTACTCTTGCCTTTCCTGTTGTACAGCTCAGTCAGCGTGGATGGCTTTAAGTCTAATGAGTGTTGAACTCTTGCCTGCTTTTAGGTTCCAGGTAATTTTCATGTTTCAACACACAGTGCCACAGCACAACCACAGAATCCAGACATGACTCACATCATCCACAAACTCTCCTTTGGTGACAAGTTACAGGTGAGTCTAAGGACATACAACCCAAGATGATGGAATAAAATCCATGCTTGCTGATATTACTCGTCAAGACATCTTCTGTGTGTCAAGAAATATTGTACAGGGTGACATTTTTGGATTGACACATTATTTTATTATCTAGTGTGTGAGATTAAAGTAGTTTGGAAAACACAACTTTTTGCATTGATGTGTACAACTTTTTGCCTTGATGTGTACAGCCTTTTGCATATTTCATACTGTACATAGGATTGGTGCTTATAACTCATGCATATTGCAAAATGGGAATCTGCTTACATTGATTTCCATAGGCCTGTGAGCTTGGGCAGCACAACTAGTTTAGACTGAACACATTTGTGTGTGTCTCTCTTGTTGTGTCTCTCATGTAGTTGCTTGTAGGACCTTAATATGCAATTAAGTGTGATTTGGAGTGCTGGCTTATAATGGAAAAGAAATAGGTGTGGCTCTAGACAAAAACTAAACAAGCTGTCTCATCCAGACACAAATCATTTTATCAGGACATTTTGTGTTCTGAAAAATGTTCTCAAACATATTAAAATAAAATGTGCTACTGTAAAGGGCTCAGAGCATAGCTTTATTATTCATCAAATAGTTGAAAGGACTTGCATTCAACTAATGAAGAAGACCCTTCATTCATTGAAATTTGCCAATGGAAACTCAGTCGAGTTCTTTGTGCTCTGTAGGTGGCTGGCTATAACATAATTTGGTGCTTTCAGCAAGCTGCAACATGCAAGCTGGCTGATCAGGGATGGGTAACCTTTAGTACTGCAGGTGTTCTGGCCTAGAGTTCATATTGGCATGGCCAGTGGTAAGGAATTGTAGAAGTTGTGTTCCAAAAGGTTTGGAGGGGCAGATATACCTACATGCTGTAGGTAGTAGACAGAGATGCATTGGAAATACAGTATATCAGAGAAGTGAGTACACCCCCTTACATTTCATAAATATTTTAGTATATCTTTCCATGTGACAACACTTAAGAAATGACATTTCTCCACAATGTAAAGCTGTGAGTATACAGCTTGTATAAGAGTGTAAATGTGTTGTCCTAAGTACACCCCTAAGTGTCAATGTCCAAAGTGGGCACAAAGGGTCAATATTTTGTGTGGCCACCATTATTTTCCGGCACTGCCTTAACCCTCTTGGGCACAGAGTTCACCAGAGCTTCACAGGTTGCCAATGGAGTCCTCTTCCACTCCTCCATTATGACATCACAGAGTTGGTGGATGTTAGAGGCCTTGAGCGCCTCCACCTTCCATTTCAGGTTGCCCCACAGATGGTCAATAGGGTTTAAGTCTGGAGGCACACTTGGCCAGTCCATCCCCTTTACCCTCAGCTTCTTTAGCAAGGCAGTGGCCATTTTGGAGGTGTGTTTGGGGTCGTGATCATGTTGCAATACTGCCCTGCGGCCCAGTCTCCGAAGGGAGGGGTTCATGCTCTGCTTCAGTATGTTACAGTACATGTTGGCAATCCTGGTTCCCTCAATGAACGGTAGCTCCCCAGTGCCGGCAGCACTCATGCAGCCCCAGACCAGGACATTCCCACCACCATGCTTGACTGTAGGCACGACTCACTTGTCTTTGTACTTCCTCACCTGGTTGCTTGACACCATCTGAACCAAATAAGTTTATCTTAGTCTCACCGGACCACAGGACATGGTTCCAAAAATCCATATCTTTAGTCTGTTTGTCTGCAGCAAATTATATGTGAGCTTTCTTGTGTGGGCTTTCTTTAGAAGAGGCTTCCTTCTGGGACGACAGCCCTGGAGACCAATTTGATGCAGTGTGCGGTGTATTATCTGAGCACTGACAAGCTGACCCCCCACCCCTACAACCTTTGCAGCAGTGCTGGGAGCACTCATATGTCTATTTCCCAAAGTCAGCCTCCGGATATGATGCTGAGCACGGGCACTCAACTTCTTTGTTCGGCCATGGTGAGGCCTGTTCTGAGTGGAACCTCTCCTGTTAAATTGCTGTATGGCCATCATGCTGCAGCTCAGTGTCAGAGTTTTGGCAATCTTATAGCCTAGGCCATCTTTATGTACAGCAACAATTTGTGTTTTCAGATCCTCAGATAGTTCATGACCATGAGGTGCCATGTGGAACTTCCAGTGACCCGTCTGAGAGAGAGAGAGTGATAACACCTGCTCCCCCTTCACACCTGAGAGGGAAAACGGCTACTTGGGCCCAATTTGGACATTGTCAGGGGTGTACTCACTTTTGTTGCCAGCAATTTAGACATTAATGGCTGTGTGTTACGTTATTTTGAGGGGACAGCATATTTACACTGTTATACAAGTTGTATACTTACTACTTTACATTGCAGCGAAGTGTCATTTCTTCAGTGTTGTCACATGAAAAGATATACTAAAATATTTATGAAATGTGATGGGGTGTACTCACTTCTGTGATATACTGTATATGCGGCCAACCTTATCTTTCAACTTCTTTGCAGGCTTGGGTAATTTCTTGCACTCTTTTGACATGGAGAAGGCTCAGTGGGAGGAAGGGGCGGAGAAATATATACTACTCTGTAAACTGGCACAATGTCAAATATTTTTCTCAAGACTATTGCCCTCCTATCCCAATTTTGGCAGCTCCAAAGTGTTCCTGTCTGAGCACACCTGAAAGTGCAGGGCAGAAGATACTGATTGCACCTGTTAGGCAGTATTTGTATCTTTGTGCCACCAGAGAGAGTAGTATCGATTGGACATGTGGGCTGGCAGAGAAGATGACTCCCCAGAGTATGTAGAAGAGCTATATTTCAGTCAAAAGCTGGAGGAGCAGCATAGTCTAAAGTCATTGCCGTTGCACCTACTCCCTCAAAGTCTAGATGTTTTCAATAATGAAGATATGGATGCCAAAGGGTTCAGTTCTTGTAAGTTTTGTGGATATCTTGGGCTGTAAGACCATGAGTGGGTACTAGAGTAAATCAAACCTGAATTCTCCCTAGAAACAAGAATGGCTGAATAAAGGCCATTGAAGTTTGGGCACATCATGAGAAGACAGGACTCAAGGAAAAAGACAGTAGTCCTGGGGAAAATGAAAGGCAGCAGGAAAAGAGGAAGGAAACCACAGCCTTGAGTTTGGGAATTTGGAATACCGGAGCAGGGCTGTTAATAATGAGACTTTTTGGAGGCCACTCATTCATAGGCTCACATAGGTTGACTTTACCCTGTATCAAGTGGCACAGTATCAGTTGACGGTAACTTGAGGGCACATCAAAACAACATGTTTTATTCTGTCACATTCTAGTCCAGCCTTCCTTACTTGCACTAGCTGGGGGTGTGTGTGTGATTTGTTGTCAAACGTGTGGCAAGCACCAGACTGAAGAAAAAAGTTGTTGTCCTTTTCTGTCCTTGCTGTTCGGGCAAACAAAGACTGGAAAGGTAACTTCGTTCAGCATCTCCTCACTCGAATCAGTGTGGTCTGTGGAATGTTATGTGCTTGCCCTGTAGCTCATGGCCTTTCAAATCATGTTCTATGATGTTATATAATAGCTCCCAGTTTCTCCCTAGGGATGTGGCTCACTGCACTCCACCTCTTTTAACCTACTTTCAGAGACTCTATAATAGAGTGGCAAATGCTTTTTCCCTCCCTCCCTTCTCACCAGACATGCTAGCCATGACTCTTAAGCCATAATCTCATAATCTCAACATAGGTATATCATTATACAGTATTTGCTCCTTCTTCCGTATATACATACTTTCAGAAATCTTTTTAATGCCTGTAGCTCAGTCCTTGGATTTTTCTGCCTTTGACTCTAAATTATAGAAAAAAGGAGGGGAAGGCTCTTGAAGGAATTCTGATATAATAAGGATATAAGAGGCTGGCTCAAGAAAACCTCTAGCCAGTGATCCCAGTGCTGCTGACCCCTATTGGCAGCAACTCCTCAGGCAGAGAGATCTTGCCACCACTGACACTTAAAGTCATTCTAACTGGAGTAGCTGGGGCTTTTTATATCCACATTACTACCGTGGACCTCCAGCCCCTTTCTCAGTGTGCATCCTGGCTTTGATCTGAAAGCCTCTGCAACAGATAGCATTGGGGCTGGTGTGGACACTTATTTGTGAGGCAAGTCTCATTATTATTGACACTTCGCAAAAAAAAAAAATCCACTGAATGTCTCAGGATACAGATGTTGGAGCAAGATAAAACGTGTTATTTCATCTTCCACAAGTTGAGAATTGATAAATTATGTTAACTGCTCACTAAAAACCTGGCCAAGGACATAGCAGAAATATTTCCATAAAATTAGATATCTTAAAACTAAGAAGCTGTCATTGCGTCCCAGTGAAATTCAAATGTAAAGTAATATCATTTCATTTATTTGCATCTTTCATGCTAATCTCTAAGACAGGTTGCATAATAACACCAGTATACTATGACCATTAAAAATTCAGTGGACTTAAAACACTAAAATAGCCAAACATTATTGGAGAACCAGCAAAATTATCCAAACATTTTAAAGATCTGAAAAAGTCTCACCTCAGTCTTCTTTCATGCTTAAGAAGCATATGCTTCCTAGCCATTATGCCATTATGTAATGTTTATACACACCCATGAAACAGATATTGACCTGAATTCATCCCTTCCAAATTGGTTTCAAACAATACCTGCTGCTTGTACACATTCTGACTGTGAATGAAACTGGAATTTCATGTACATATCCACCCTCCCATGCCTGCTCATCTTAGTTGCAGCTGCCTTGGTTTGTTTTTTTCAACATTTTGGGATATTATTGCATTGAAACGAGAGGCTGCTACCGCTAGCATGTTGCAGTGGTGAACCTTTTCTTTAGTGAATGCAAGAAGTTGATTTATGACAATCCATACTATTTGTACAAGTTGCCAACAGTCCTCTGTTTGGATTCCCAGCAGTTTTCTGGGTTTCCTAGTCTTTCATGTTATTCACTGCTTCATCTGAGGCCAGGCTGGGGACTGAACCCAGAACCTTCTGCATGGAAGTCTGAGTTGTGGTCTGCATACCATTTTAATTTTGGAGGTGGTGTGGTTGGATCTATTTATACTCATAAACATTAATGACTTCATTGATACAGGAGGTTTTAGATGGTGTAGTATCAATTCTGGATGAAAGTTGGTGAGATACCATTTTTCCTGAGGTGAGGTAAACGAATAATCTGAATTCTTCACAGGCATCGATGTTGAAGAAGTATCTCCTGAAGAGCCCTCTTTAGTTTCTATTGACTGTATCCTTGAGGCTTGAGAATAAGGGCCTGTCTAATCCCAGCCTTGAAGGAACATTGGTGCACTCTGACTGGTATACGACAATGACGACCAGAGATTTATTCTAGTCTCCTAGTGAATGATGGACTACCTTAACCTCTAGAGCTGAGCTGAGCTCTGTCTGAAAATGCTGCTTCTTAGCAACCTATTCAGATGACCTGTGTGAATGAGGTTGTGCCAAGGACAGAACTGCAGTCGGGGCTCTGCGTAGTCCTCTTATGCTGTGGCACTTAGTACAGGGTGAAGTCTTTTGAGTTGCTAGTAATTTGAAAGCCAGCATGGAAGAACCTAGCTTTTTGATTTTTTTTAGATTTGTTACTCTTGTGTCACTTGTCCATTTGATGTAACTGCACACGTGAGACACAAGTAAGTCAAATTATGGGTTATATGAATCCTGTGGGTAAGAGTAATACTCCCTAGATTTTAGTTTATTTTAAATCATACTGCAGTCTACAGTAGTAAGATTCTTTAATTGATGCTGAGGGCTAACCATATTGTTTTTTTTAATTAATACATATTTTCAATTATATTGACCAGGCTAAATCTTAAGAAGAGGATGGTACTGTTTTTAAATTTGTAAACTGCCCAGAGTAGACCCTTGGTCTAGATGGGCAGGATAAAAATCTAAGAAATAAATAAAAATATTAAATGATAGAATCATATGTTTCTTGCAGTACTAGTACTGAAAGGCTGCAGCTTAAGGAAATTAATTAGTAGGATCAGGTAAATACAGGAAAAGGAAACCTGTTCCCGTATGTGGATGGCTGATAATACCAAAATTAAATTGCAAAACCATAGTAGAGAAGGAATTAATTCCTCTCCTGCTTCCTTGACTCCATCGGTAATGTTGAGGAGTGGAGTGGTTATGCTGGTTTAACTCTGAAGCATGAAAGTACAGTACGCATCTTATGCAAAACTATGTTCTCTGCTATTTCTTTTTCCAGGTCCAGAACATCCATGGAGCATTCAATGCCCTGGAGGGAGCAGACAAGCTCAGCTCAAACCGTATGTATCCTCTGTGATTTCAGGATCCTGTAGTAAGGAATGCTTGCCTGGGAACACTGGTAGAAGCCAATAATTTAGCAGTAGCTGGTAGTATTACTAATAAACTAGGGGGAGGATTTCTGTGACATGTCATTTTTTCCCTACAAACCTATGATTGAGTTTATAGGTAGGTTTGAACATATTTATGAGTAATCTCGTTAGAAAGGCCAGATTACTCATAAACATGTTTGAATTTGCTTATGAGTTCAAATGTAGGTTGCAGAGAAAATGAGGAATGTTGAAGAAATCATCCCCTTGCTAATAACCAATGGTCCCTGGTGGATGTGGACTAGATGTCCTCTTTCTCTGGCTACGAGAGAGGTAGACATAATGATACATAGGTTGATCTTTAGGTTGCTTGTGTGTACTCAAAGCTACAGCAGGCAGTTGATGTCCTGTACTGTTGAGCTCCCTAGCCAAGAATATGTAACTTGAGAACTTGGGGACTTAAAGGGCTGCCTCCTCACATGTGCCCAGTCTTCTGAGGCCTTGTGGAACCTCAGGAGACAATTAGGAAGGGGACCATTTCAGTTGTGGCACCTTGTATTCAGAATACTGTCCCTGTTCAGGTGTGTGAGCACTTGATGCTATTAAACTTACAGTACAGATAAACCTCTTGACTACGGCCTTTATGGTATTCATTGATTTACACTCCCATTGTTTTACTGGTTTTGTTGCCTACTCTACGGCAACTGTGTTTGTTGCTGATGCCTTATTGTACTTGTGTTAACTGATTTTAAAATTGTACTATCTCTTCCTTAGCATCGCGAGTTTGGCAGTGCTTGATCTTTGATGAAAAATTAGGGGTTTAATGGGAAGCAGGTTGTAAATATTTGAAACAATCGGGTGAACACAGAACGGAGCCAGGCCAATGAAAGGCTGAGTTGTATGCTGTTTTAGGAGTTCTGTGTCATGGCCAGGAAATGAGCATTATCCTAGCCAGCATCTTAATTCTTGGTATTTCCTTCCTCTGTATTTATTTCTTGGCTGTTATGTGTTAGAGTAAATTGGAGATGTAGCACCTTTGAGTACTGTGCTTGTTGTGCTACCTCTTCCTTTCCTTCATGGGGAGTGTTTCCTCTCTCAACCAAGGTCCTCTCTCTGCCCTGCAGAAACTTTATTTCCAAGGACATTCTTTATCCAGGACACTCTAGGACCCCAATTTGCAATCAGAACTTGTTGTTACTGAATGTTACCTCTTGCATAGCGATCTTGATCATCCATCTGTGAACGTGGCTATTACCAGTGATAAATCACACCTGAAATAAGTATGATACTTAAACATTTGAATTCTCGATGGGGAAAACTGAGTGTTATGGAACATGGTTGTACCCTGCCAGTTGCTAACTTTGTACTTTCGCCTTCTTAAATGAGTCTTGAATTGTTTCTGGAACCCTTAACTAGGATTGTGACTTCTGACAACAAGTCAAATGCTGTAGTTAGCCTGTCACTGGAAGAAGAAAACAGATTGCCCAGCAATTCAGATTGCTGGGCAATCTGAATGAAGCTGGTGTTTAACTCCTGATGGCTACATCACAGACAAGGCCAGCTAACAGTCTACATCTCCCCAAGAGGATGTACGCAAAATAGTGCTTCCTTGGTTCTACATCTTCTTCTGAAGCCAATTTGTGTGTGTAGTTTCTTTGTAGTTCTTATACATTTTCCATGCATTCTTCCATGTTCTTGAATTAAGGAAACAAGGCATTACACTTACTGTTGGTAGTCACTACAAGCTTTCGAATTTTCTTTGGCGGGGGGGGGAATGTACTAAAAGCTGTTTCACTAGAAACTAAAAGGACTAAATTGGAGCTCTTATACTTTGGTCATATCATGAGAAAACAGTATTCTCAGGAAATGGCAATAATGCTAAGAAGATTGGAAAGCAGTAGGAAAAGAAGACCTAACATGAAATGGATTGACTGAATAAAAGAAGTCACGGCCTTCAGTTTGCAGGACATGAGCAGAGTTTTAATGACAGGAACTTTTTGAAATCATTAATTCATAGGTTCACCGTACATTAGACATGACTTGATGGTGCATAGCAACATAGGTTGATTTCAGCCAGATTTTAGGACTGATTCTTGTTCTGTAGATTCAGTTGAAAAGATTCATTAAAATATCTAAGTCATCATCTCTGATCAGTTTGAATACTTCCACAAAAACATTGTCATATCCAGGAGTTTCCCTCTTTTTTGCTAGTTGTACTACTTTTCAGATTTCTGCATTTGAGCAGTGCTGTTTTTAGGAATATGTCTGTTTCCTTCCTGATAATTTATTACTACCTTTTAGTTTTTATACATCAGAACAGTTGTGGTCTTCACTAGGGTTTCAACATCTGTGCATTATTTGATCTGCCATTTTTCTTTGCCTTTCCTAATTTTGTTTTGAAGGCTATTGTGTAGTTCTCTATATCTCACTGGCATTCATTTCCCTTTTCATCTTTCTTCCTTTTATTCCTTTCTTTTTTTTATTGCTTGTTTCCACTTCTACTTTTGTAGCACCTACCCAAAGTTCTGGAGGCTCTGAAGCTTTTTTCTCCTTACTAGTAACAGGATACATGCTTAGGTACTGAGGAAGATGCAGATAACCAAAAGTGAATTGTTCCATGCCAAGGATGAGGGTACTACATAGTGGAATAAACCAATTTAGAATAAAGATATGTGCTTTTACATTTTTCTGTTTCAGAACAGTATTTCCAAGCATGATTCTGTGCTGTGATCCCCCCCCCCCCAAATATGGTCACATTCTGCTTTCTCTTCTGTTTTTACAGCCCTTGCATCTCATGATTATATACTGAAGATTGTTCCCACTGTGTACGAAGATATGAGTGGCAAACAACGGTACTCATACCAATATACTGTAGCCAATAAGGTAAAGATTCTGCACCTTTTGTTAGAAGGGTTCTGTTTGATTCAGGAGACTCTAGTGGTCAAGCTTTAAGTTGCAAGCCAGGTTTCCCTTGCTGCTCTTTGTTTTGTGTGTTGCTCTTCTTCAAGCGTGTGCAATAGCAGCCCCTGCTGGAGATGGAAGGAAATGAAATTGGAGAAGGAGGTTGCAGAGCTGCTTGCTGGTTTTTTGCACTTTATAAAGAAGGAATCAGAATGGATTCCCGGCTCCTAGTATGATGTGCAGAGTGGAACTTTGTCATCATCTACCAGCTTACACATTTCCCAGGTGTTCCACTGCAGCTGTCTGCTAAAACTTTATTAAAACATAGAGAAAATATGTATAAACCAACCTATTTTGATAAAAAAATTACCGTATTTTTCGCACCATAAGACACACTTTTTCCCACAAAATAGGGGTGTGTGGAAAGTCTGTGCGTCTTATGGAGCGAAGAAAACAGATTATATTTTCCTGTTCTCCTAAAAAATTGGTGCGTCTTATGGAAAGGTGTGTCTTATGGAGCGAAAAATACGGTAATTGGACTTGTACTTTTCAGCATATATTTAAATACAGTGGTGCCTTGCTTAACGGGCGCCCCGTTTAACGACGAAATTGCATAGCGATTAACTTTTGCGATCGCTTTGCGATGTTCCCTATGGGAGAAAATCGCTTTGCGATGATCGGTATCCTGTTTCACTTACCAGTCATCGCAAAGTGATGACTTTTTAACAGCTGATTGGCAGTTCCAAAATGGTCGCTGGGTTAAAAAATGGCCCCCCGCTGTTTTCTGGGACGGATTCCTCGCTTACCGGGCAGCGAAAATGGCCGTGGTATGGAGGATCTTCGCTTAAAGGTGAGTATGAAGCCCACAGGAACGCATTGAAGGGGTTTCAATGCATTCCTATGGGCTTCTTAATATCGCATAGCGACAAAATCGCTTTGCAGCTATTTTTGCTGCACTGATTATCGTCGCTATGCGAGGCACCACTGTATACATTTTCATGTAGATTTAGAAATGCAGGTTAAAGCAGAAACAGGAAGGAATGAACAAAAGTATGAGCGCTTGCCTTCTCTCCCCTTTCTGTATATAGACTCATCTGTTACTTCTCAGTCGTGTATCCTAAAATTTGTTTGCAATACACAATTGGATTAATGGATGGCAGAGTATTTGTATGTTTTCTGCTTCTTTGACTTCCTCCTTGGGACCCTTTCTCAAAATAGAAATGCAGTGTAATAATGAGTGTCTGGAGCAGAACGGTTTAATCTTTTAAAAGGAAGTAAACAATACATTTCGTTGTGGTCATTATTTTGTTCTGCCACTCCAGTCTGAGCAGCTTGTAGTAGATCTTGCATGTGTGGCATTTGAACACACATTGAGCCCTCCAGAGAATGCTGGATTGCTGAGAAAGATTCAGATATGACTACTACTACTGTTGCTGCTATTGCTACTACCACCACTACTACTACCACTACCCATGACCCTTTGGTCTGCTCCCACGCAACAGCAATGCTAAGAAATAAGAAGTTCAATAGAAGATGAAGAACTTTTGATAATGAAAGTGATAATTATTCATAATGACAAAAGAAAACACTTTTGATGCTTCACACTATAGGGATTTAACTAAGCTAGACTCCTTTTTGATAGGAAAAAATTATGTATTTATTTAAAATATCTTTACCCCACCTTTCTCCTTGAAAAGGACCCAAGGTGGTTTACAGTATTGTTGCAATTATTATTATTACAGTTTCAAATAGTATTTCGTCTTTGTGACTAGAAGTCTGTTTCTCTGTGTTCTCTTTCTCTCTTTCTTTTAAACTTAAAATATCTGTATTGGCTTCAACCCTCGTATCTTATTATAAAAGGAAAATTGGCCACTTGGCAGTTCACTGGAATATACTGGGGCTGATCTCCTATTGAAGGCTAGTAGACACTCTGCCCCATTTTCAAAATTCCTCCTCAAGTTAGCATTACCCTTAAATTCTTGTCTGTGAAGTTGCTCCAGTTGGGTTCTGAACAGTTCTGCCATTTCTAGCCACTTGAACTTTAAGAAGAATAGGAGAATGAGAGCTATTTTGGGATTCTCAATGCAGTTCTGCATGACTTCTTAGATGCATCCGTTCTTTTTGCAACGCCTAGAAGACAGTGCTGTTTTGCTGGAAAGGAATGGTGCGCATTATAGCATCAGATCATTGGGTTGGATTGAGACTTGGAGTGTGACTACATTGACAAACAATGCGGAAAATGCTGCAAGATTAGAACTATGTGGTTGACCTTTCTGTTGACTACATGATGTATAAATCCATGCAAGTCAGCTCAAAGCCTGCCCACCCATCTGTAGTTTTTCCCTCTGTTGGTGGGACTTCTGCTGTTTTGGAATTAAATACATTCAGGACAGTTCAGGCATGGTACCTGGGTCTGCTTTCATCTTCCCTTCCTGTTCTGTTTCTTCCTTTTGCTTTTCTTTAATGCTAGGGCAACTAGGTGACCAAAGGGAAGGGGGGAAAAAGGGGCGAGGAACTGGCAGAAAGAGAGGAGGGAGATTTAAGGCAGCTATGCCTACTGCAAATCTGGATGGCCATAGTAGGGTCAGCTTAAGCCAGTGGTTCTTAACCTTTGCTACTCAGGTGTTTTTGAACTGCAACTCCCAGAAACTCCAGCCAGCAGAGCTGATGGTGAAGGCTTCTGGGAGTTGCAGTCCAAAAACATCTGAGTAACAAAGGTTAAGAACCAGTGGCTTAAGCTGCAAACAAGGCTGACTGAAAACTACCTTGGGTCTTGCTGCTGATTCTTTGCTTTTCCTCCCTCATTGATCACCTCTCCTACCATTAGGACAGCAAGCCTTTAAAAGGAAAATAAAAGAAGGAATGGGAAGAGGGAAACAGGCAGACCCAGGGACCAGATGTGGAGATGAGATAAAAAGAGAAGGCATATTTAGAGGGACTGTCCTTGAGTGTGTTTTGTTTAGAGTTTGTGCCTTTCATTCCTTGTCTGGCCTTCTTTTTCAGGAATATGTTGCATACAGTCACACAGGGCGCATCATTCCAGCTATCTGGTTTCGCTATGACCTGAGTCCCATCACAGTGAAATACACAGAAAGACGACAGCCCTTGTACAGATTCATCACAACAGTAAGTGGCCATCATCCTCTGTCCTCTACTTTTAAGATTCTCTCATCTTTCCAGTATGAGTTAAGTGGGGTTCTTGAGAAAACAAGCTGAGCTTAGCGGAAACCCACATTTAAGTGAAAGGCCCTTTTCATGTCCTGTGATACATTGTGCTTCTAGGAGAGCTCAGGCTGTGTGAGCATTTTTCGTAACATTTACTATCCTTTGCCATTTCCCTTTTTAAAGATTTCTGGGAATGTGGAGACATAACTAGAGATGCAAATACGAGTACTCCCGGACCGCTGGACTTAATGAGGGGCCAGCCCATGCATCTGGCCCCTGTCCACTCATGCATCTGGCAGCAGCAGCAGCCTCGCTCATCCTTCCAATTGCTCCGGAGCACCACTCTCTTCCTGCTTGGCTGATGACACGGCAGCCATGCAGGGAGACTCATCCTCCCTCTCACTGCCTGGAGTGACCGGGCAAGTGGGAAGAGAGTGGAGCTCCGGGAGCAACTGGAAGGATAAACGAGGTTGCCACCGCTGGCGGATGTGTGAGTCAACAGGCTGGCCCCTCATTAAGTCCAGTTGTGCAGGGATATTTGAACACGAATACTGCCATCTCTACTCACAGCATTCATTAGAAACCCAAAGTGAAAGGGCAATTGTGCATTGCTGTTCTCCTTGCACCCTTCACATGCTTTATCTTCTTAGTAAAGTTTTGTTCAAATATTTTTCTTCTTCACATGATTGCATGGGAGGGATGACCATTCCTGCTGGTCCTGCCTCTTGCTGTCTGTATGCTTAGAAGGCAGGATAAGGCCTGCAGTAGGAAAGCTTATGCTCTACCCGTGATCCAGAAACCTGATTGCATCACATTTCAGCTCATTGGGAAGAACATCTGCCATAGACTTCCTTCGTCTGCGGGCCTTACCCTCAATATGTCGGGGACAGGGGCTTTCCAGGACAGGGGACTAGAGGCAGAGCCTCTGTAAAAATTAATTTCATTAGTGAGGGATGTCAAAATGGGGTTTACAAGATTGTGAACCAGCTAAAGGAATTTAATCCCCCAGTTTGGGTCAGGGAAGGCCCTATTTTTTAAAAAAAAAAAAAAATCTTGCAAAAGGCAAACATGGAATTTGAAACATAATCTACATTTGTATATTTTATCCTGACCGGTTCCAAATTACTTGCCTCCCCAGGCACTAAGATTGGTCCCTACCTGCTTGTTTTGAACGATAGGCTAACAAGAGCATCTGTGCTTTCTGGCTCCAGCTTCCTGCCCCGCAAATGAATAAAAAGCATCAGGAAGGGGCTATTGGTAGGCTGGTCAGCAGCTCCAGTTGAGAGCTCCTTGGACTACTATGTCTGTCCCTGTGTTTCTTTTTATATGCTTAATCCTAATCCTCTTTGAATCTCTTCTGCCAATGTGTATCTTGTTTGGTTGTCTGTTGCCTGCTTGCTTTACCTTCGTTTATGGATCTGCCTGACTCTACTTCTTTGGCCCCCTGAGCCAGGGTGTGCAACCCACATGATGGTAGGGCAGACAACCCAAGCCCAGTCATGTCCCAAATTTGGGGGCAGAGTTCCTCATCCTAGTGATAGGCTCTAGTCTCTTGCCCTATCCGAGCTCCTAGTAAAGAAGTGTCCTTTTCAGTAGTGTCATTCTTTTTCTACAGTGGGGTGAATTTGGCAGCTATATGCCTAAGATGTACGAGTTCCCAAACCTTTCCAGCCCAACTTAATGACTCTCTTACCTGTCTTCATTCCGGCTGTCCCAGCCTTTGCTCCCACCTCCGGCTTGCTCTCCCACATCATGGTTTCCCTGGAGACTGGACAGTCATCATTGCCCATTGCTGTGTAGAGGTTGCAGCCTTCTGCCCCAGACAGAGATTATCCGCTGGTGGCAGCTGGAGTTATTGTTAAGCAGGACAATCCTCTCAGAAGCATCCTGGAACTTGTCAAGCAGCAGATGCTTAGTTAAAAACTAAAAAGGAGGCCCATGGAACAAGCACCTGCCGTTCCTTTTGTGGAGCAGTTTATTTACCAGGCTGCACCCATGCCCTTTTCACAGAAGCACTGAAATGTTTGTAAGAGACTTCTGACAAGCTTAGGTGGGAAGATATTTTAGCCATCTGTGACAGTTTTTATCCAGATCTGGAAATCTGAAAAGTTTATTATTGTTTCATGGAACTTTGTAGTGTCTTTCCTTCTCGGGGTATGGCTGCTAGGAGGAATAATACTGGTATAGATGTGTGCCTGGCCAGTAGAGCAAGACTCAGTAATATTTTGAGTATGTTTGATGATAGTAGGAGTAGGATAAACACATACATCTATCTGCCCTGAGTATGATCTCCACCATGGGGGTTGGTTGTCTTGGATTTTAGATCTTGCAGTTTGCTGGTCTCCATGCTGGCTGAGAAAGAAGAAATGCCCCCATCCACGGAAGTTAACAGGGGTGGGGCCAAAGAGAAGGGGTCCTGAAAATGACATAAAGTATCAGTGGAATGCACCTGGCCACATAGGCAGGAGGTCCTGCATTCATGATCTAAGGCAGGCTGTTGGCATATTTCAGTTAGGCTACTTAAGTCTGTGACTGGGAGTAGCCGGAACAGTAGCCCTGTTCAGTCATTATTTTATTGAGCCTTGTCAACACAGTTTAGAGAGCAGCAGCTAACCCTACTCTCCACTTGTATTGCTTTCTCCATGTGAATGGCAAGTCTGTGAGTAGAGCCAGTCTTTGTAGCCTTGGGCACGCTGCATGGTCCCAGAGTGCCACCAGAAGAAGGGAACAATAAAATCACTTCTGAGTACTTAATATCTAGAAAAGTGTAGAAAGGACTGCCACAAGTTAGAAACTACTTGAGCGCTTCTCCCTCCTCTTCCTCCTCCTCCTCCTCTTCCTCCTCCTCCTCTTCTACTACTACTACTAGAATCAACTAGTAAAGATGTGCTATGTGGATATTTGACTTTCTGGAATAAGTGTGGTAGCAACTGTCTATATAAGGAGATTCCTCTGAAGGAGAATGTTTGTACAGACTAGAATCTCATTGCGTCCCTTTTGTGCAGGACTTAAAGGCGCGCGGGGGGGAGGATTCCTCCATTTTTCTTGACCTTGGATTTTTGATCAAACCAAACTCACAAAATTTGGTTGTATGCAGTAGAGGTAAATGCAAAACAGATGCCAGGTACATCTGAGTCATAAGCACTCAGTAGCAGAGAGCTGTACAGATGAATATATTTTTCTCTGTGTATTTTTTCTTGTATTTTCTGCTATGAAATCATAGTTTCCTGTCCTCGGGGCACAAAGTACATCCCTTCTCTGCTTCTTGCGGTATAAAACCTCCTGTGTCAGCTGATCTGTAGGAGTTGGTTACCCAATTCGCTCTGCTGTCATTTTCCATGAAAAGCAACTTTGCATCATTCTTGGAGCAAGGGTGAATAGGGGAAGAAATACAGCAGGGTGATGGTGGAAGTCATGCCCATCCCTAAAAATATTTAATTGTACAACGATTTCATTCCCTAAAATGTCTGCTGTACTTCGAAAATGCATGTACTAATAATTTTTTGCCACTGAAGTATCTTCTGTTTTGCTGAGCTTAGTGGACACAAATATCTGAGTTAAAAATATGCATTGAAATGAGCAATTCTTCCCTTTGCTGCTGCTCCTTGCTATTAAAATCCTGCCCACTCATATTGCCTAGTTCCTTCCCAACTTAGCTGCTATTCTGGTGCAGTGACATCTGTATCACATGCTCATAGATGGATTTGGTGAGGAGGACAGAAGAAGAACTTCTATTTTTCTTCTCGTTCATTCTGAATATCACTATTAAATATGCCAGTAGGCTTTATTATTGTGTGCTCACCAATCCCTGCCTCGGTTAGGGAGATGAGGCCAGGGTCTGCAGCACTGACATCCATAGGCACAGGAATCCGTTCTAAGTGCAAAACAGATGATTGTGGGTTTAGCAGTTTCCAAGACAGAGTTCATCTCACCCTCCCCTGGCCCATCTCAGGGATCTCTTTTATCCCTCTGACAGTTCCTGGTTGACTCTCCTGGTCTACTGTCCCACAGTCCAAGTTATACAGGTTGCATCCTCTAAGGATGAGTTGTGCCAGTGGGCAGCTGTGCTGCCATAGGTCCATCTAATCCCTTCTGGAGAAGCCGCCGTCTTGCCTTTTGAGGCTTGTACACTCTTTGCACTGGCCTCACCCATTTTTTGTCATTGGCTCTGCCTTTTACCATTGATTTTGCCCCCTGGCCACATTCCCACAATAGGGTAATATGACCCTTTTCCCTGAAAATGTTACCGTGCCTTCATTTACATCTTCATTGCCTACAGATGACGCTTCTGCCAGATGTTCTTCTGCCCCTAATATTGATCATGAGATGTCTAGTTTCATTTTGATTCCAGTGGAGTCTAGCCCATTTGTCCAAAATGTTTCCCGGTTCCTAACATATCTGAAGCCCCCCCCCCATGTCAGTGGCTCTGTCTTATCTCAGTGCACTGAGATCTTTCAGCTTCACTTGTCTAATTACTTCTGTTTAGAGAATATGTAGCATTTCAAAGAATGCTATATTTGGAACCCTGATTTGACTCCAGGAGCACCTGCTTAAATTTCCTACTATCACTCATGCTGAAGTGCACCATGATCCCTGACTACTTCCTCACACCATCATGATAATTGATGCTCGTAGCCTTAATACCAAATAAGATAGTTGGCATATCATTCAGAAAGCTATCTGTTTGTCCTTCTCATCATCGCCTTGCCCATTGCCTGAAGCCCCCAGAGCCATACCTTTGGCATGAAAGATCACCTATGAAGTGAATTGTAGAATTTTTGAAAATTAAGCCATGTGGGGAAAACTGGACTTTTTTTTTGCTTTTGTATCCCCCACCCCATCCCTCTCAGGAATATGTAAACTTACTGTTTAGCGACATATGAATTATTTTAACTTAGCATCTTGTGTGTTACTATTTGGCATATTTATGAAATTTTAAAATATGAAAGTTTTAGTTTTCTACCCACAAAATTGTGAATATATGCTTTTACTAAAGAAAGAGCTGAAAAATGATACATATGCTCCTTAAGCACAACTATGGCAGTTTTGTCATGTGGTCAGTAAGAGGGCAGTTAAAGCAGAAACCCTTAAGCGTTGTACCAGGCAGAATGAACCATATTAGTTGGACAGAGACAGTTTTCCATCTATTGTGGCCATCAGTTCTCCAGAAGATGCAGTTCTTTATGAACAGCAGAGGACTTCCTGGACAGTTCCCTTAGGGGGATGGAAGTACCTGCTAGGTGTAGAAATGCATCACAAGTTTAAGTATTGTATATGTCTAAAGCGTGGCAAGGAATTATCTTAAAAGACACATTTTCATACTATGCAGCTCCTGGAATTTGAGCAAATAAAGCCCTTGCCCGAAAAAAACACTTCACTTATTCTGAAAGAGAATAATAATTTATAGGAGTTCTTTTCGTATTCCTGAAATGTTCCAGTTCTTTTCATCTGGAAAAACCAAACTTCTGTCCTTGGTTTAAACTCCGCTCTTTCCTCTCTGAATTTTTCTGTCACCCCCACCCCACCCCGGCATTCACATTCTTGCATAAATGATTTTCTTCTTCAAAAGATGGGTCTTTTCTAAAGGATGACTTCCTGTTTTTTGTTTTTCCTACAGTCATTCCACTCCTCCCAAGACCCTCACTCTCCATGACAGCAGAGTGACTGTATGGATGGAAGTGGACATCTGTGTGTCTTTTTGTGTTCCCAGACCAGCCACACTGGCCTCAGTTTTCTTCCTGAGAGCCAGAAACTCATTCCATCAAACGCACACCTACAACCTCTATTCTACAATCAGACAATAATACACATGAAACTCTGTGAAACTGATACTGACTAGCTCCTGCATATCTGCTGTCATTCAGCATGATCGGTTGGCTTTCTTTATTCTCTGTAGTTTACTCAGTTGGAAAGCTAATATTTGGGGGAATCAGAGAGTTGTTTTTTTGCCATGGCCTTCTTGGTCTGTTCAGAAAGACTTTCCTGTTTTTCATAGTTCTTTTCGTTGCTTGAATTGGAAAATTTCATGGTCTCCACTCCCTCTAACTCGTGATGATTGATTGATTAGGCATCCTTCAGTCTCGTGTGACTATGGTAGCGTGCTCTGTATGGAGAACTTGGAACAGTATCTAGTGTGGCTGAGGAGGCCAATTCGAGAATGACAATCTCTTCCACAGTGAAGACAAATACAATCTGTCCCCTGTCCAGCTCCCTGGTTTTACTGCTTTTGTGACTTCCTCTTTGCCTCAGCCTGCTGGGCAAGGGTCTCTTCAAATTGGGAGAGGCCGTGATGGAACGCCTGCCTCCAGGATGAACGCTCAGATGTCAGGGTTTCCCATCTGTTGAGGTCTATTCCTAAGGTCTTCAGATCTCGCTTGCAGATATCCTTGTATCGCAGCCGTGGTCTCCCTCTTGGGCGATTACCCTGCATTAATTCTCCATAAAGGAGATCTTTTGGAATCCGACCATCAGCCATTCTCACGACATGCCCAAGCCAACATAGATGTCACTGTTTCAGTAGTGTATACATGCTAAAAATTCCAACTTGTTCTAGGACTACTCTGTTTGGAACTTTGTCCTGCCAGGTGATGCCAACAATGCATCAGAGACAACAAAAATGGAACATGGTCATCTTCTTCTCCTGCTGTGCACGAAGGGTCCAAGACTCAATGCAGTACAGGAGTGTGCTCAGGACACAGGCACTACAGACCTCTCACTCATAGGACATTGTGAAAAGGAGGGGCACAATTCAATACCAAAGAAACATTAACAGTTGTCGTTACTATCATGTATTGATTTAATTGTGTTGTGCAGGTATTGAGAAGTGAAGTTACATCATTTGTGCCCAGTGAGACTCAAAAGCAGATATGAGTACAAAAAATTAATGACAAAAAATGGAACTGATCAGAGTGTGGGTTGATTTAGGAGCATCTCAGCTTGTAGTAGAAATTACAGAAAAAAATATTCTGCTCTAGCATTTCATAAAAGGCTTTGCATGAAGTATTGGCTAAAGTTATGATGTATGAATATAGAAACTAGGGTTCAAACAGGCTCAGTTAATTTAAGCTTTGCCTACGCTGCACCTAAAAATAGCTGGATAGAATCCAAGAAGAGCCAATGTGTGTTTGAGGACCTTTATTTGTCACTCCTGGGGTGGGGAAAACCAAACATAGCCCCTACTCATCACTTTCTCTCCCTCCCTCCCCCCCCTCCAGATTTGTGCCATCATCGGGGGAACATTCACTGTGGCTGGAATTCTTGACTCCTGCATTTTCACTGCCTCCGAAGCCTGGAAAAAGATCCAAATAGGGAAGATGCAGTAGCAGAACAATCCTCAGCCGGATCCAGTGTGGAAAAGCAAAGAAGGAGAAGTCCACTTTTTCCCCCCCTCCTTTGTATCAGTTTCGCTTGATAATATGCCAGTTCAGTTACCATGTTGAAAATGTTTTAAAGGAGCAAACAACACAACTCCATTCCACATGTTCCATCCTCTGAAAAAGATGTTTGAGGTTATCTACCTCCGTATTTTAAAACCAAATCCTATGGATCTGACTAATGTAACTATTTTGAAAACCTCACAGGTGCTAAAGCCAGGGCAAAAACTTAGTTATAACTAATTATGCAAGTCAGATTTTTTTCAACATTCTGTAATTGGACAATCATGTTATCTTATGATCAAACTGCAAATACATTTTAAAAATAAATAAAACAGCAAAAACAAACTAGCCTGGATATCCAGTACAGGTAGAATACTTTATAGTTAGGCATTTGTTCATTACAGGAATATTAAGAAGTTGCTGTTTTGACTTATATACTGACCCATGGTGCTAGAGCACTCTCTGGGCAGTTTACAACATAATTATGCAAACAACACTTTGTTGCCCAGTAAGCTGGGTACTCATTTAACCGACCTTGGAAGGATGGAAGGCTGAGTCAACCTTGAGCCAGCTACCTGAATCTGTCAGGATCAAACTCAGGTCATGAGCAGAGGTTTGACTGAAGTACTGCATTTAAGATCTTTCTGGTAATGCCTGAAAAGCTCCTCCTTGTTGTCCCTGAATGACACTATTAAGTGGAACTAAATGTTACCCATACATGGTTCTTCACTATAGTTATGGTTAGAGGAAAGAAACAGGTTGTTCTTTACACTTTTCTAGCCTGTAAAAAAATATTTTCACATATTTTTCCAGCAATTAAATATCCAGTCTGTGTTTACAGAATAACAGAAAACATAAGATGAATAATTGGAATAATAATATAATTTGTTGTCTTTGGGGCAAAAGGGGGGGTATTTATCTATTTCTGCATTTTTGTAACTCTCCTCTGCCTCTTAAAGCACAGATCACCCAGTTAAAACATTTGGTTGGAAGAGGAGAGAGCACTCAGACATTCAGTTTTGAAAGTCATATAATATGTTATACAGATGCAGAAATACAGGGCATAGCCTTGCTAAGAGGAATCCATATTCTTAAACATCATCTTCAATGACTTGTTTTTTTAAAAAAAGTTTAGATGGCTAACATTTGCCAAGCTAACAACTACAAAAGCAAGGGTAGGTGATGTATTGATTCATAGGAAATAGGTACAGCTCTATGAGAAATAAGGCAAGGTTGCTACAGACTTTTTCCTGCTGATAAATTTCCATCTTAAGTATAAAACAGTAGTTTGTTCTACCCAACAATGAATGGTGGGAAGGATGTAGTTTTCAGTATGCCATCAACATTGCTTCGTAAAGAACTAAATAAGACCCCACAATTAACTTTCATAGACTTCAATTAGCCTTTTGTTAAACGACCCAAGTGATAATTATTGCATGCTTTGTGTATTTTATATTACCTAGGACTGCATACACGTTAGCTGTGTGTTTTCTAGGTTTTGCTGCACTTCTTAAAATAAACACTAAGAATTTTCAAGTTAGAGTTTGGGGAAAGCATTATTCTGCTATTGGAATAATGTAGCCCTTTATGGATTACCTTTTTATAATATGAAAATGTAAATTCAGTATATTATGACTAAACTATAATTGGCCAAAATTAATTTCAAGTACAATTCTATGCATGTTTACTTGGAAGTAAACCTAATTGAGTTCAGTGCAGTTTACCTCTAAGTAAATAGGTATGGTGTTAGAACTCTAATCAGCCCAATATATCTTGTTGAAAAAATTGCTGTATTGTGGTGTAGAGGAGATAGACACTTTTTGTTATTAAAATTATTGCTGATTTTCTTGCCATCAATTTTTTTCTTGATTTTTCCAATCTTTGTGTGAGAATACCTCTCCCACATCTTTAGAATTTCTTCCTGTTTTTCTTATAAAATGATTTATTACCTTGGTGTAAAACTGGATCTTGTTATTTCCTGTATCTTGTTTAATATTTGGATGGATTTTATACATTTTTCATTTGCAAAAATCAAATGAAATCAAATAATACATGTGTGTTCATTTCTGTCTATGTGTGTGTTTCCCATATAGAAATAATGGGTTCTTCTAATGTAAAAAGATAATCTGTCTGTCAGATCAGGGATTCTAACATCTGAACATACCCCTAAGAGATTTACAGAACTTTACAGACCTCTAGGAAAAAGTCACACATGGCATGTGAAGGAGGAGCATCAGTGTGCGGTCCTCAACTATTCAGACCACGGAGGAGGACTGTGGCTGTGTAGAGGGGATCTTAGTGGAGATAGAGAAAGATGAGGGAAAGGGACTGCCTTTGGCTCATGAAGAATGTCATTACAAAGCTTTACATCTACATTGCTTCTGTGTTTCATATGCACAAAAATAAAAAACCCCAAACTGAAAATGTCTTGCAGCTAAGAAAAAAACTGTAGGCACAAATGCTTAAAAAACACATTAAAACTAAACTTAGGTTTAGTCAGAATTCAATTCAAAATACAGGAACATTTAAAATAGAATAAATCGCCAAAAGAATGTTGAACTGAATTCTAAAAATGCAGAAGCTTATAGCCTAAAAAGGCACATTTAAAAAACAAAAGGCATCTCTAAAACATATCATTTAAAAGTAGCAAGTGTTATAACTTTAAGTGATCTTTAGCCTTTAAGCATGTTAAGAATACACCCACACCCACACCCACACCCACCCCTAAGTGCTCACCCAGCTAAGCCTAAATGAATTTATGGACGAAGATCCATGTTGATTGTGTTGATGGGTTTTGGAAATTTAGCCTGCTGCTGCACCGCCATGATTGTTGTTGGTATCTGGTGTGTATGACATACAGCATAAGCATTGTGATGTGATGATGAGTTGATTTCGTCTATTTGTCCTGCCTCCCTATATTCATAATCTTTCAGTTCTTTATCTTTCCTTTCCAACTATAAACAATCCTTTCTCCAGGGGCCTGGAGCACTAAGAAAATTTTCAAATATACATCTCTATTATTGTTGCATCTACTATAACTCCAAGGGCTTGTAACTGAAAATCTGGCAAATTGTTGCTGTAATAATAAGCATTCTTATCTTGCGGAGCCTGGAGGAATAAAGGTTTGTAACATAAAGCATTGGGTGCACCAGAGACTTGAAAGACCAAGGTATTGTAATTACAGAGAGTGTAAGCTATGAGACCTGAAAGCTTTGTAAAATATGTTCAACTGCCAGGAATTTTATGGTACAGTGACCTTGCTTGTCTGGAGAGCTGCTAATTGTTTTACAATGACTGTACTTAGAAGATTTGTGGATGACACAAAATTGGGTGGAATAGCTAATACCCTGGAAGACAGGAACGAAATTGAAAAAGTTCTTGACAGGCTTCAGTATTGGGCTGAAAACAACAGAATGAAATTTATCATGTGTAAAGTTCTACACCTCGGGGGAAATCAAATGCACAGTTACAAGACGAGGGATACTTTGCTCAGTAATACTACAAATGAGAAGGATCTTGGAATTGTTGTAAATCAGAAGCTGAATATGAGCGAACAGTGTGATGTGGCTGTAAAAAAGGCAAATGCTATTTTAGGATGCATTAACAGAACTATAGTCTCCGAATCACATGAGCAAAAAGCGAGCTGCTTATATACTGCCCCATAGAACTTCAAAGCACTCTTTGGGCGGTTTACAAGTTAATTATGCTACACATTGCCTCCCCAACAAGCTGAGTACTCATTTTACTGGCCTCGGAAGGACAGAAGGCTGAGTCAACCACGAGCTGGTTACCTGGAATTGAACCCCAGGTAGTGAGCACAGTTTTGGCTGCAGTACAGCAGTTTAACCACTACACCACGAGGCTCCTCACGAGGTAGTAGTCCCCCTCTATTTGGTACTGGTTAAGCCTCACTTTGAGTACTGTGTCCAGTTCTGGATGCCACATTTTAACAAGGATGCCAACAAAATGGTTCAAATACAGAGGGCAACAAGGATGATCAGGGGAATGGAAACCAAGCTTTAGGAGGAAAGACTGAAAGAACTGGCCATGTTTAGCCTTGAGAAAAGAAGACTGGGGAGTGATATGATAGCACTTTTTAAATATTTGAAAGGTTGTCATCCAGAGGAGGGGCAAGATCTGTTCTCAGTCCTTCCAGAGTTGCAGGACAGGCAACAATGGGCTCAAGCTACAGGAAGCCAGATTTCGGTTGAGTCTCGGGAAAAACTTCCTAACTGTTAGAGCAGTACAGCAATGGAACAAATTTCCTTGGGAGGCAGTGAATGCTCCAACGCTGGAGGCAGTCAAGAGGAAACTGGACAATCATCTGTCAGATCTGCTTTGGAGTCCTGCATTGAACAGGGTCTTAGATTCAATCCACTTATAGGCCCCTTCCAACGGTGATGCTCTGATTCCATAATTAAATAGTGCTTGTGGAATTTGATGCGTTTAAGACATCAAAATATTTTTGAATATCTTAAAGACAATGCACTTTTTGAAACTTCCAAGTAGAGTCAGTAAAGCAATTAACAGAATTTTATAAATAATTGCGCTAAATTTCATATTAGCACTGTTTTGTATTGTATTATGGTTTAGCTACACAATTTCTCCATTATAAAGCAGTGAGTCGGTCTAGATTTCCAATTTGTTCCTGTGATGAATAAGCAATATCTGTCCCCTTCCCACACTCTTGCAGAGCAGAGGCCAGCAACATATTCTCTTGCTTTAAAAATGTGAACAACGGCTGCCAATCCCTCCCAGAGACACAATACTGGGACAAAAAGGAACAGAGCCTAGGAGCCAAACTCACAAGCTGCTGCTGGTCAAGCTGGTTCTACCTAAGAGTGGAATGGGAGTGGGGTCGGGTGTGTGAGAGAGTAAAGGGAATGCCAGTGGTCTTGCCCCATGCACTACTGGCGTGCGGTCCCTGCACATCCTTAAGTGTGTGTAGACCGTGCTTTGGATTTTTAAAACGGGGAAGGGGGGACACAAACAGTTCTCTGTCCTGAAAAACCTTACAGGACCAGAAACAGGGAAGACAAAACCGTGGGATTTAACATGGGAGCAAGTCTGCCTTTATGAACTGACTCTCTCGGGGCCCTAAATATCCACAGGGGACATGAGAAGGGATTCGCATGGACTTTGGCAGCTCCACACGAAGCAAGCCTTGGCGCGGTTTTTAAAAGTGCGCATTGGCGCGGTTTTAAAACTGCACCCAGTCTTCCTTCCCTCCTGGCCGGCCGGTGCTGGAAGGCTTCCCAGGTGCTGACACCGCTCGGTTTGGGGAATCATCCGGGGGCTGAAGCCGCTCCATTTTTTTTCCCAGCGTGACCGGTGGGCAAGGCTGCCCCGGGCCCCTCGGTCGCGGTGGGCAGCCTTTTAACGCGAGGCGTTTCTGTCTGACTCCTTCTCGTCCAGACGCCAAAACGCCATTGTCTCTCGTAGAGCCGCACAGTAGCTGCTGCTGCCGCTGCTGCTGTTTGCCTTGGTGGACGCGTGGTGGCGCTATCGGCGCCCTCCTCGTTCCTGTCTGTCGCCCCGTCGACGTTTCCTCCGGAAAGAGGTCGTTCTCGCGAGATCTGAGAGCTCCGTAGTCTCGGCGGAAGTTGGTTGGTTCTTTCTTTCCGGGCGGCCGTTGGCAAGCTTGCTGTGGGTAAGATGAGAGAGGGTCCTGCAATCTGGTGTCATCCGCTTGTTAATGGTCGATGGCGGGCCGTCGTTTACGACGGACTCCAAAGGATGAGGGGGTCGTGGCGGGGGAGCCTGAATTTGAGGCGGGAGAAACGCCGAAGCAGGCATTCCCACGTCGTTTCTAGTCTGGCTGCTTTGGAGCCTTTCGTTACACTCCCCCCCCCCCCCAACACGCACACACACACATACACCCCGCTCCCGTAGTGCTTTCTGCTAGAAACGGTGCCCGGGGAGAAGGGGCGGGCGGTGGATCGGGACCGGTAAAGCCTTAACAGTGGAACGCGCCCTAATAGTGCTAAATTTGAACAGAGGAAGAAGACGTGATATTGTTTGCCGCCCATAGGGGATGATTTCTTTCGTCAGTCATAGTTTTGATCCCGATGTGGTTTGAGCATGTATTTCCAGAGCACTGTTTATTCTCTTGCTGATGAGCTGTGTTAATTCATTTCCTCTTGTTTATTGTAGTCTGATCATCATGATTATCATACTAATGTAATACTTTCTATCTGGACATTTATTGTTGTTAGTTCTGTAGTATTTCATTAAGATTGCATTCATATCCGCTTATAGGTTAGGGTTAAGCTGTGTTGAACTTTATAGGTAAACTAAATAAATCTCCCAGGGATTTGATGGAAGACTGATTAGTGCAGTGCTCCTGACCTCAGACCTGTAACTGAGCAACTTTGGCTTTGGGAAATAGTGGTGAGCATACCTGTAAGGATATAATAGATCCTTTTTCATTGTGTCCAAAATAAATTTAGCTAAGCCAAAGTATAGAGAACATTTTGCAGAATATAATTAGAACAGAAGAAACAATAGACTTCTTATTATTGCAAGCATCATGTTCCTCTGTAAGGTTCTCTCCATGTGCATGAGGATTATAAAAGTATCTTGTCAAATTTCAGAATCTGAAAGTAGTGGCAATCCAGACAGCCTAGAAATAAACAAGACTAGATTATGTTATTTGTTTGAAGAGAACTTTTGTTGTATCTTCACATTTTCTGGTTTAATTGTTGTAGTTGTCAAATATTTGTCTCCTGGGTTGAGGAGTGATATGAAGGCATTTTGTTTTTCTGTGTGAAAACTGGTCAAAACAATATGACATTTCAGATATAACCTGAACGATGGGTTTCAGGAAGCCTTATTCAGGTGTTATGAATGTTGGGAGGAATAAACATATAAGGCTAGAGAGTGTGGTGCAAGAGTAAGTTTCTGAAGGCAAAAGATCTCATTGGAGGCACTCCATGCGTGCCCAGAGTGGTGGTAATCTGGTTTTCCAGGTTTCCTAGATAGCTTCCACATGCAGAAGTTTCGTTTTTGAGACAGTCTCCGCATGAATAGAGTGGCAGTGAAAGGAAACAGGGCTAGTGCTTTCTCCCATGAATTTTTATTTTCCCTATGTAAATAGAGCTTTAAGAGGGCTATTATTATATGTGTGCAACTCATAGTTTCAGTTGATTTGTAACTACAAATTTGGTGTTCGTTTTCTCCAGTCAAAATGAAGTTCAATCCATTTGTGACTTCAGACCGCAGCAAGAACCGCAAACGGCACTTCAATGCACCATCTCACATTCGCAGGAAGATAATGTCTTCTCCTTTGTCCAAGGAGTTGAGGCAGAAGTACAATGTTCGGTCCATGCCCATTCGAAAGGATGATGAAGTCCAGGTATGTGTTTTTAAATGTCAGTTACACAATCGGGGGAAAGGTGGAGGCAAAAGGAGAAATGGAAGACCAAATAAGAGATGGATTGATTTAATAAAGAAAGCCAGAGCTTTGATTTTGCAAGATATGAGCCATTTTGTTAATTACAGAACATTTTGGAGATCATTCATACATATGTATGATTGCCATAAGGCAGAAGTGACTTAACAGTATATAACAACAAAAGCTTGACTTAACTCAAAGGCTGGAAGTTAGGAATATGAGTGCCTGGTTTTGGAAATCTTGTGCTCTGTATGCATTGGGTGCCCTATTCAAATGCTGAATGCTTTTTGGAAGAATGGCCTTTAATAAAGAAAGCCAGAGCTTTGATTTTGCAAGATATGAGCCATTTTGTTAATTGCAGAACATTTTGGAGATCATTCATACACATGTATGATTGCCATAAGGCAGAAGTGACTTAACAGTATATAACAACAAAAGCTTTACTTAACTCAAAGGCTGGAAGTTAGGAATATGAGTGCCCAGTTTTGGAAATCTTGTGCTCTGTATGCATTTGGGTGCCCTATTCAAATGCTGAATGCTGCTTGGAAGAATGGTCCAGTTTATTCAGGCTGCAGATTTGGGTGGTGGTGATTAATCAGTTTTCAATGCACTGTAGGTCAATGGAGACTTGACTTACAGACTTTTTGACTTGAGAACGCCTTCCAATACGGATTAAGTTCTCAAGTCAAGACCCCACTGTATTCAGGCTGCAAATTTGGGTGGTGGCCTCTAGTGCAGCGGTGTGGATGCTGAGCTGCATATGAAACTGAATTAATTCTGGAAGGGAAACTATATTGGTCTGTTGAAAGGAAAACAAGAAATGTCGCTACAGTGCTCTCACAGACTAATGAATTTCTTACTGTATAACTTTGTACAAATTTGAGTCTGTGAAGGTTAATGCTATTTAAGTCTATTAAATACTGCGAAAGGGTATTGTTTGAATCAAGTGACTTCTGGTCTGCTTTGGCTACCTTCATGTATTACACTATTATATTTATTTTTGAATATGTGTTTCTAGTTCCAAGTTTAAGGGGATGTGGTGGTGCTGTAGGCCAGTGGACAGAAGCCTTTGAGTGCTGCAGGGTCAGAAGACAAGCAGTCGTAAGATCGAATCCACACGACGGAGTGAGCTCCCGTAGCTTTGTCCCAGCTCCTCGCCAACCTAGCAGTTCGAAAGCATGTAAATGCGAGTAGATAAATAGGTGCCACCTTGGGTGGGAAGGTAAACAGCGTTCTGTGTATAGCCGTGCTGGCCACGTGACAACGGAAACTGTCTTCGGACAGACGCTGGCTCTATGGTTTGGAAACGGGGAGGGGCACCACCCCCTAGAGTTGGACACGACTGACTAAATGTCAAGGGGAACCTTTACCTAGTTCCTAGTTCAAATTATTAAAACTGTATAAAAGTCATGTTGCACAGATTTTTTCAATTTTCCCTTTGTCTTGACTAATGGCCAAATCAGACAAACTCTCATTAGTGAAAACCAGAATTTAAAACTAGTTTGAAATTATGATAAATGCCATATAGAAACATTCATGGCTTGCAGTCACATAGTTTGTGGCAGATATGAGATATTTATGTTCATATCCCTGTGGATACGAATATCAGCACGGTAAATGCCTGGGGAATCCAGCCCCTCCCCTAGAACTGGCTGGTCCCTTTACTGCTTGCTGTGCAGCGCAGATGGCTGTCATTGTTCATGATGCAGCAATCACAGAAGTGGACTGGCCAGTGTTTCCCCACCTCCATGCTCAGTCTACCACTCTGGTGAGGAGGTGGGATGATAAGTGGTGCTGATGTTCATATCCGTATCCCCAGAGATATGAACACGAATATCACATCTCTGTTTATGTGATGCCACATGTCCTAATGAACTGGTTAACATAAACCAGGAAAAGGGGAATTGATAATGCTGGAAGAGGGGATGTAGCCATGGCACATTCTTTATAGCTAGTATGTAATTATGATGATTGCAAATGGAAAAGGTGAAAAGAAAAATGGTTACCATTACCACTATACAATAGAAAAAATATAGCACTAAAGAAATCTTATTAGCGATCTCTCACTGCTGATGAGTGGGGGTGGAGAAGACTTTTGGTAGCCTTTCTGTCATAGGATGGGGAAGAGATACGGAAATATTGGAAAAAGTTTAGGGATGAAAATCCATTGCCTAAATAGTGGTACCATTATGTGCAGTTTACTTCCTGTTTGGAACAACTGCTTCTTTCCATTTAACAGTATGCTGTAAATGCTGACAAAAAAAATAGTGTAAACATTGTTTTCTGTATTTTTAGGTCGTCCGGGGCCATTACAAGGGGCAGCAGATTGGCAAGGTAGTCCAAGTATATAGAAAGAAGTATGTCATCTACATTGAACGTGTACAGCGTGAGAAAGCCAATGGTACAACTGTACATGTGGGCATTCACCCCAGTAAGGTAATTTTGGTGTGAATACATTTCCCTTCCTAGGTAGATTTTGATATTTTTGTGGTTATTTGTTAAAGATGAAATGGATTTCAGATAACTATAGAAATTAATAGTGGGATAGTTTCTGTCCTTGTGTATTTTGCAGAACAGACTAAATCTGATCAGTGCTTAAGTGGCCCTACTTTTGTATCTATTTTAAATTTCTTCAATTGTGTTCTGTCTAGCTTCACTTTTTTTATGCCTAAAACATATTTAGAACAAAATGGAGGATTGTATGAAGGGAATGCAGCTGAAGCAAAAAAAGTTACTTAGTGCATTCAAGATAAAATGTCTTCTGACTTTTGTCTAGGCAGTGTGAAACTGTATTGCCTTCCTGTGCCAGTCTCAATAATTGTTCTGTTTCTCTACTTGAAGGAGATTTAGTGTAGAATGTGTCATTGTACAGATCTATACAGTATTCTATCAAAGCATCTTATAACAACACTAGATTTTTAATATAATCTTATCCAGATCACATGGTAGGAAACTGGATGCTACTGATTCGTTTAACATTGAATTTTCAGCAGGAATAAGAGAGTGATAGTTAACAAGTTATATTAAGTGCAGGGTTATTGATGGTAACTAGGTTCTTCAGCCTTGCCTTGGTGCTTTGATGAGATATGTAGCTGAGAACGATAAATGTACGTGGATGTTCCTGGGATTTTATTGTTCCTCCAAGATGTAATTGCTAAAGCTAGCAATTTTAACATAGAGCACTTTTTATTTGACTTGTTGACTTACTACATCCTTGCAGTTTCAGTTGTTTGTATGCTTTTGAAATTTTCTTTTAAGAATACTTTCATTATGATAGATTCAGAGGTCTAATGGTAGTTTCAGCAGAATTCCACCTACCTCAGCCATTCATGCTGTCAAAAAAAAGGTCTAATGGTAGTTTCAGCAGAATTCCACCTCCCTCAGCTAGTCATGCTATAAAAAAAGGGTTAGAAAATGTCAAATAGAAATTTCATGGAAAATTACATGCAGATTATTTGGAAGTTGCATCTTGGAAATCTGTTCTATAGGTGGTACAGTGAATTAGTCTTTTCAGTAATACCCAAATACCTCCCTTAAATGAAACGCAAATTAGGAGTCACATGATTGGTGTGTGATAAGAGTTGTTTACATCAACTCCTTAACTTAATGATTATCCCTACTGAAAGTGATGTCATTGGTGTTATGTTGGTAAGTGTAACTAATAGAATTCCTGCCATTGTGCGTTTCCAGAAGTACAATTTTTTTTAAACTTTTGCCTTTACTTGTTTGGACAGCGTTCACCTGCTTTATCATGCCAATGTCTGTCCTCTGTCAAACCACATTTTGTTTATACTTCCGTCAGACCTCAATCTTTAAATTTTGACAAATTATGAAACCTAGGATGATATGAATATATGTCTTTTGATTTACAATATGTTATATAATCCCATACAAACTTGATCATTAGTATTGTGGGAATGTCTTCTTAGTGATGAGATCACATCCTGTTGATATACAGGAACTGCGTAATCGGGACCACTGGATGGGAATGGTGCTTATAATAGTTCTTTTCTTCAAAAGCTTATTGCAGCATAAGATCTCACTACAGGAAATTGGCTCCTGCTCTACAAACTGATTAGAGCTAGAAGCAGTCTGTTCATGTGGATTATATGATGTTTGTAGAGAAGTGTCAGCCTCTGACAGCTAGAAAGATGACTCTTCCATCCATATTTCTGGCCTAATTACTGAGTTTGTACTAGGTTTCATTCAAAATGTTTACAGAGCATGCTGACTGTAATATTTCCATTATAGACACACATGTAATGAAAGGCACCACATTTGGTTTCTGAGTACCTTGACAAGTTTGTCAGGTTGTGTTTTGAAACAGCTGAAAGGAAAAGTAAATATATATGTGAATTCTGCACTTTGTTAATAGGGCCTGTTGGTTCATTTTAAATGAAGTTTTGAAGCACCATAATCTATATGAAAAGTGATCATTGTGAATAACAAGCTTGATACCTGGTCTCACAACTTGCTGAGCAGTAGGCCCAAGCAGAATGAGTCTTTTGGTCTAACTTTGGTGGGTTAGATTTCCAGGGTGGAATCCAGTTAGGTATTTCAGCTGATGGAATAGCTGCTGTCAGAAAAGAGTGGATGGGGGCATTCCCTCTCTTCTGCATCTTAAACTATCAGCTGTCCAAAAATCAACAAAAGCTCTTATCAAAATATAATAGTCTTTAAGGTACTGCATGTTTTTGTCTCTTTTTTTAAGCATTTGAGCCTCTTTGTGTTCCACCTTGTAGAAAAGTGAGGCTGTAATGTTACCATCATTCTTTAAATAGTTTTATTATAAATTGCTTCAGTACTTACGGGTTGAAATTCAGTAGTAAGTCATAGCTAGAATAGACCTGTTGAATCAGTGGAATTTATTGATTCAGTGGACCTATTGTAATTAGATTTACAAATGCTTTACACTATACAGTATTTACTGGTGTAGAAGAATTTTGGTAGTAGAGAACTTGAGAAATAAATAGTAGTAGTAATCATAAAGAGTAGTCAGTTGACTAGATGGGTGGGGAATGAATGAATGAATAAATAAATAAATAAATAAATAAAATATTCCCAGTTCTGAGGTAATGAGTAAGTCAGTTTACACCTACTCTTACAATAATTTTTCTCCTTTCACTCATCATGGACATTCAGTTTTCCTCCTCATCTCATTTCCCACAATTTCTCAGATTTACCAAGTTGCAATAGAAGAGGAATAAATAAAAATTAAAACTGAAGAGACTGTTTCCATTTGTCTGATCAGCTTGGCTTAGAAGTTCTAGGATTTGTGTGATCAGAGAATTTGAAGTGGTTTCAAAGCCTTCATGATACAGCAAATCCTCCTGGCTGCCATGCATTTGTTTCTTCCCCTGCCCTGGCAGCATAATCTTGGTGGGAATAGTAGCAGACTATAGACCTGCTGATAGGGTGGACCTACTCTGAAGTTTGAAGAAATGTGTGTTTTACCTGATAATTCTTTTCAAAAAAGTTTCTGTTAAACTCGGCCCATTCCAAATAGAGAGTAACAGTTTTGTCTACTTCTAACTTTAAGAAACTTTATGCTTATAGGCGGAGATTTTCTGTATTCAGCTTTGTTTGTGAGATGTATTTGTAATAACTGTAATTCATTGCTTAGCTACAAGTAAAAGCAAAAAGCAAAGTGTGCTGCTTATATACCGCCCCATAGTGCTTCAAGCACTCTCTGGCCGGTTTGCAAGTTAATTATGCGGGCTACACATTGCCCCCCCCCCCAGCAAGCTGGGGACTCATTTTACTGACCTCGGAAGGATAGAAGGCTGAGTCAACCTTGAGCCGGCTACCTGGGATTTGAACCCCAGGTCGTGAGCACAGTTTTGGCTGCAGTACAGCGGTTTAACCACTACGCCACGAGGCTGTTAGTCCAATCCAAAGACTGGTAACTTTTATACATCCAGGGGTCCTTTATGTGCCACCTCTAGACCTTGGAGGGCTGCAGCCCCCTCAAAATGGTTTTTATTGATTTTACTTTATTCAAAGGATCCACTCCTTTTTGAGTAAATACTTCTGATCACTCATGACATAGATCCCTCCTGAAAATGTGGACAGGGTAACAAAATTATCTTCCACATCTGCTATAGTTCTTGAGTTAAAAATATTTTAAATCAGTGGTTCAGTGTGCTATGGCCACATTTGGGGCCCTGTGGGGAGTTACATGGAACCTGCAGGTAGCACTTTGCCCATTGCTGCACCAGTTGAATTATATACAAAAAAGAAGCTCTTAATCTGAATTATGCACTGAAGCTAACCATGGGTATCTTTCTGAGCATTTATGTATAATTACCAGATTTTAGCAAGGGCAGCTCGTCATGGAAGTTATTTCAATGAAGATCAGTTGCTACCGCCTGAGGCTGGGGGTAGATTGTTTAAACAGGCACAGTCTAACAGAAGTATGTCCACAATAATAAGTTCCTCTTCTTTATTTTGGATAGCAGGTGGTGGTCTCAACCTCTCCACGGTCAATTGACAGGCCCCTTCTGGGTAATATTGCATTTTACTTTAGGGATTGTGTTACAGCACTGGTTCTTAACCTTGGGTTACTCAGGAGTTTTGGACTGCAACTCCCAGAAGCCTTCACCACCAACTGTGCTGGCTGGGGTTTCTGGGAGTTGCAGTTCAAAAACATCTGAGTAACAAAGGTTAAGAACCACTGTGTTACAGCTTACAAGTTGTGTTGGAAGGTTCAGCTAGTCCAGAATTTGATATCCATTTTGTTAAGGTCATTCAAATGATCCCAGTTTAAAATTTTTTTTCTAGCTCCCAGTTTGTAAGAAATCATAGTCCTGGAGACAGTCTTCTTTGTAGTAATATGTATAAAACAAAGTAGTAGGATATACTTAAAATACTTATTTTGACTTCCTAGGTGGTGATCACAAGACTAAAGTTGGACAAGGATCGTAAAAAGATTTTGGAACGTAAAGCGAAGTCTCGCCAAGTTGGTAAAGAAAAAGGAAAATACAAGGAAGAAACAATTGAGAAGATGCAAGAATAAAATGGACTCGTGTGAAACCCATTAAAATTCTAGTCAAATATAATCTATGAGTGTTCTGATTTTCTTGTCTTAACATAACAGCAAAAAGACAGCTGTAGTACAAAATAGATGAAAATGTGATGCTTTAATCTGAGAAGAGGAATATATGCAGATAGAGATCTAGAAATTCCCCTTGGCAAGAAGTTCCAGCCAGACTATATATCTTAATCTTAACAATAAATAGAAATTTCCCATCTGAAAATGTTTAACATATGCCAGTGCCTGAAAATCAAATAGGAGTATTGAGACATATGTAAGGGCAAAGTGACAAGTTAAAATTTTAAGAACATTTAAATGCAAACAAACTGATATGAATTTAATTTGATTGCCAGAAAATAATTCTGCTTATCATGAAAATCTTTTTCTTTTTAAAGGAGGGAGGACACTTACAAGTCCCATGAGTCAGACTAGAACATGGGTTCCTAACCTGCGGGTTTCTGTAGTTATTTTTAGTTGCAATTATTTTTTATTTATTATGTTAAATGTGGTATATACACAACATTGTTTTATTTTAATTCTCTTGGTCCACAGATAATTTTAACGTGAACTGGAATTGCGGGCAACCTAGGGCTCTTAGTTATTTCTTGAAATAAAGGGAGCTGTGTGGGCAGCACAAAATACAAATGCAAAAGTAGGGAATACCTTTATAGACCACTAAAAAATCATCATATAATCTATGAGCTTTCGTGGATTGGGACAATCCATTTTGTCAGGCATGTACCAGTGTGAAGAAACTAAAATCCAAACATTCATGGTAAGCTTTATTTTGCCAGCAAACTTACTCTTAGTTAAAGTCCAAAAGCTCTGGGCAAGATGGATTTTGTCAGGCATGCCGTTCTTAGATCTAAGTCTGGAAAGATTCAGGCTGCATTAGGGCTATTTCAAAGTTATAGCTGAGGCAGCTGTGGATTGTACAGTGGTGCCTCGCATTACAACGTTAATTCGTTCCAGTGAAATCGTTGTAGAACGAAAATGTCATAATGCGAATATAAAAAGCCCACTGAAATGCATTGAAACCCCTTCAGTGCGTTCCAATGGGCTGGAAACTCACCATCCAGCGAAGATACTCCATAGGGCAGACATTTTTGGTTACTGTCTTGTGAGGAATCCGTCCCAGAAAACAGTGGGGAGCCATTTTATTTACCCTGCGACCATTTTGAAACCACCGATCAGCTGTTGGAAAATCGTCGTTTTGCGAAGAATCGGTTCCCGAAGCAGGGAACTGATCATCGCAAAGCAAAAAAACCCTATTCAGACCATCGTTTTGCAATCGCAATTGCGATCACAAACAGATTGTTGTAATGCAGTTTCGTCGTAATGTGGGGCAATCGTAAAGCGAGGCACCACTGTATATCACACCCCAGTTCTTCAAACAAAGAGGCAAAAGCCATAAACACACACACCTCCCCATTTAGCTTTTATTTGAAATGGACATGCCTCAGCTGAAGGGGAGGGGGACAGAAAACCAAATTTATTTCTGTACCCCTTTGGGCAGATTTTCTTTTCATGCATGTGAATGACTCCTACCCCACCCCCACCGAAAGAGCCATTCTCATTGCTCATCTGCATCCATCTTTGGAGGACTGACATCAGTCCTTTGGACACGAGGATTAGTCTTCCTCAATGAGGCAAGCACTCAGTGCATGCCAGAAATGCTGACAGCAAAGATGCTAGCAAGATTGAAAAGTTGTTGCTACTGCTATAGCGGCACACTCCACTCCACTTGAGTCTCTTGGGTGGAGATGGCTGTGCAGAGAGGGGACCTGACAGATGCCTCCCTGCCTGACCTGAGTCGTGGAGAACAAGAGGGGCAAAAAGGTGAGGGATTAATCGGTTTTCAATGCACTGTAGGTCAATGGAGGCTCAACCTACAGACTTTTCGACCTGTAGCCACCCTTCCAATACGGATTAATTCCTAAATAGAGGGTCCACTGTAAGCACTTAACATTTTAGTGACCTGTAAAGTGTTTAATATTTAATACATTATTCATATGTGATCTGGAATTCAAATGACCTCTGAGAGTAGTAAATCTTTCAGGTAATTACTGATGATTCAGAATAATGAGACCTCAAGTAGACTCCTTAGATTTTCAAAAGGGTGATTCCAACTTGAATGAATAGGTCAAATGGAAAAACAGATCTACTTAAGGTGAATGTAAGGGCAAAAGGTATATATTGATGTAAAAAGACCCCACACTATTCATCTTCACTTATTGGGAAAGTAAGCTTGGTATGTGTGACCTAATTAGCACCTTAAATGCAGAGGGGCCTATGTGGAGTGGCAGTGAAAAATGAAAGCATTGTTCTCACAAAATACATTCCCGACTAGAGAGGTGACACCTTTATAGGCCAAGCAAGAAGGCACAAAATATGCAAAGTGATGCACAAAAAACAAGTTTTCAGAAACCTGAAAACTTGTGGGTTTTTGTGCATCTCTGTGTCTTTCTCATCAGTTGAGATATTCAATGTAAGCAGCACATAGGAACAGTGAAGGGAAATTGGATGTGATGTAGGGTGATTTTAGGCCTTGTAATCCATTTGCTGTTCCAGGATGAGGCAGAAAAATGGGCCTCGCCAGGTAATACTGCATTGCTTGGTTTGGGGTAACCCGTATCTTTATTAAGGTCTGCAAATTTAGAAACACAACTCTTATCTTAATCTGAGTTTACTGTAAACTCAAAACTGCATCCATGCAATCTGAGCCCTCAGGTTTCTTGGTCCATGGGAAACAGCCATTAGATAGTCTTTATACTGTCTACCGTATCCTGGAGTTAATATTGTGTGTTCTCACCAGAGAAATGCAATCTAAATTCAAGGGCAGCGTGGAAGTCATGAGATTATAGGTGGCTAGCAAAGTGCACATGGTATGGAGAGAAACACTACTTATAACAAAAATCAGGGTCCTCTATTAAATTATTTGGCAGATTAGCAGTGGGCAGAATTGTTATTTTTGGAATACACAAATCAGCTTCCTAAGTTGAAGCACGAAGTGCTTCTCATTACATGACCATGTAGTACAACAACAGATTACATCAGTAGTATTTTAACTAAAGGAATGAAAGGTGGTGGGTAGGGAAGGATAACTTGCAGGGCTCGACACATATATGTTTAACCCTCAGCTCGTATTTACTGAAGTCCCGCACATTTTTGTCAGTTTTTAGTATTAGATATCGGGGTGTGACTAGTTTTTATCAAGGTTCCCCTAGAAATTAATGGTGGTGTCCAGAATACTGTATGTTGTTGCTTTTTTTGAGACTAAAGTATCAAACTAAAGAAATCACAAATGTATTCAATTTCTATTTTAAATTAAAGGGAGATTCTGTAGAAGAGATGATCCCATTGTGTTTATCCAAACTCATTTACATCTAAATCATAGAAAAATTGAGTTGGAAGGGTCTTATAAGGCCATCAAGTCCAACCCCCTGCTGAATGCAAGGGCAATATGTCTTAAAAAGAGGAAATTCACCAATGGTCTTCAATTCCTCATTGGTCATTTTCAGTTATCATCTGGTGTAAATTATGGTCTCCTGTGTGTTTGTGTCAGGTGATTTCGAAGTCTGGAGGTCACTTCATGTTGCCCAGAGGAAGACAAATCCACTGCCAAGTGTATACCAGGCAGGGAATGAGCTAGATTTCCTGCCTTAGAGGGATCATATTGAATGCCTTTCCCTGTTCTGTGTTAAGCCCGTTTGGTGAATTGAATAAGGGACTTTTCAAATACTGTAGTTATAGACCAGAAATTAAATTAAGGCTCTGTGCGCAAAAATGTGTGCATGAGAGAATGGAGCCTAAAGATACAAAAATTTTTTTTAAGGGCTAGTGAGACTTCTAAAAAGGTTTTAGTGTGACATGGCAATGGGTTACAGTTTAATTCTTGAGATACCCATGGGTTGTGTCGTGCAAGGAAGTTTAAATAGTTCTGAAAGGGCTACAAGGCTACCTCTTTGAAAATTGCGAGTGTTACACATGAGACCTTGAGGCCCGAAGGACTTGCCCAGTTAGTTAAAATGGATGCTCTTGTAACAAAGGGCAAGATCGAAACTAGCCTACAACTATTTTCAGCATTGCCTGAGAATAGCAAGACCAACACGGGACAAGCGTAGACAGAAGAGGTCCGCCCCTCACTGAAGCTGCCTCTCTTTTTGCATCGGGAGAGGGGGAGAGAGACGTAAAAGAAAAACGCCAGGGTTGCGGAGCGGGCAATGCGCCAGAGACGACTTCTCTCATAGAAGAGCGACCAGCGCCGAGGTTCAGGGCAGGAAGACCATCCCTTAAAGGAAGCGCATGCGTAGTTCCTCGCGCTTGACTACAAATTTCCTCGCAATCCGGGCGGGTGGGAGGAGCGGCTGGTTACGAGCGTTTAGGACGGCAGCGGCCCCTGATTGGACGGCGCCCCACGGGGGGGCGTGGCTGGCAAAGCGGAATAGGAGTCCGTCGTCGTCGTCGTCGTCGTCTAGGCTGGAGTCGGCGGAGGGAAGAAGGCGCCGGTCATGGCGTACAGCGGCCTGGCGGTTCCTATCGTCGTCATGACCGTTTTCTGGGGGGTGGTCGGTGGCATCCTGCCGTGGTTTGTGCCCAAGGGCCCCAACCGGGGGTAAGTGACGGGAGGAGGAGAAGCGGCGGCGGGGAAGCGATGCGGGGCGGGTGGTGGTGCGAAGTCTTAGGTGAAGCGACGCTCCTTCCTTCGCTCTGCCCGCAGTGGGTGCTCTCGGGGGGGGGGGGGGGGGGGGGGGCCNNNNCGGGGAGTCGCTTCCCGCCGTCAAAGAGGCCTCTTTGTTTGGGGGGGGGAAAGAAGGCGGAAGGGGGGCCCCCCTTGAGAGGCCTGTTCTCAGCGCGCACCGCCGTGACCTCCTCCGGCTGGGGAGCTCGGCATCCTTGGACAGGACGACACCGCGACCCCCCTTCTTTCTCTAGGGCGGCTTCTGCCCTTCTTGGTGCCGCCCGGGCCCTTCGTGGATTCCGTCTCTCAAGAGCGCTGCGTCTTAATCCGAAGTCGTCATCGGGCGGCTAAATGGCTGGAGATGCGTTAAATTGCAGCCCGTTTTTGTTCTTTAAATAAGGCCCAGTTTTTTTTGGGGGGGGGGTTCGAAGGCTCCTCCTCGCTTAGGTCCCCTAATGAGAGCCTGATTTCCGACAGTCCTGGCGTATCTTCTTTGTACATGAAAAGTCCAGATGGGATTAAAATGTGTCATGGTCTTATGACAATTTTTTTTTCTGTCGATAGGAATGTGTACTGTAACTTTTTCCTCAAAATCAGCTGGCGATGAGATGGATAACTGAAATTGTTCAGTAATTCCACGCCATTCGCATAAGAGCTGGAGTTTCTGACTGCGTCTTGGTTGCTGTTTAGTCCTCACAGATTGGCCTGTGATTTTCAGATGTGTTCCAGCCATGCCTTCTTTGGCTTTCGAATAGCTTTATCTCAGTAGTTCAGTGGTTTGAATATCTGACTGAGATGAAGAGTTCGATTCCCCACTGTGCCCTCTTGCCAGAAGAGGCAGCCTGTGTAATTATAGGCAAGCTGCACAATCCCAGGGCACCCCAGAAGAAAGCAATGCTCTCTCCCTCTCTCTCTCTCTCTCACACACAGTCTTTCATACTACAAAATGTAATCTATGAGAACATAATTTTATTTATTTCAATAGGTTTGTGCTACTTTTCAGCAAAAATTCCCAAAGCACTGTACATGGGGAAGAATTAATAAATAATAAAAATAAATATAATGAAATAGAAGTGAGCAACATGTATATTCCCCTGCCTATAGTTCCCCTTAAGCACAAGGGAGAATGCTTTGTTTTGAAATATGATTGCTTCACTGGGTGCCTTGGGCTGGTGAAATAGTGCCTGAAAATATGTTTGGTCATTTTTAGTGAGGAATTTTGGTGCAAAATTCAGTAGATGCCTTGAGGGTATTTAAAATTTGGTCCATGGATGTTGCCAGTTATTGAAGTAACGTAAGAAAAAGCAGCACAGTAGTGCATAATTGGCAACACAGTCAAGAAAGTCATTTAAGAAGTATATGTTAATGGAAATTGAAGATCTATATAAATAAATCATTTTAATCAATTGTGAAACATTAAAAGAAGGCTGCATGAGCTTTCTGCAAGAGGAAATGAGTACTGTAACCAGGGAGGGTTTTTCTTTGTATCTGCCAGCTATGGTTCAGCAGGAGAAGGCCTCTATGGCAGAATGCAGAGGATGGACAAGATCATATGGGAACAGACATTTTAAAATGTTTTCTGGACTTTTCAGGGCTTTAAAGGTAACAGTGAACTTTAAATAGGCTCAGAAGCCTATGCAAATCGAACAGAACATGCCCTGACAATAGATTCTGAACCCTTTTCAAAAGGAGTAGAACTGCTGTAATACAATGGGTTGGAAAACATGGCTGCTGGTCAGGATTTTGTAGAGCTAACCAAGATCAGATTGATGGTATTATATGCCTTGTAACGGGTTCAGCCTTGGGCAATCTGCATACTCCCAGAATGTCATCAGAAATAAATGCTGGTAAACTGCTTTTGAGTGAATTACACCTAGAAAATCTTGGGAGGGTTTCTATAAGTCAGAATTGACATGATGGCATGTAATTATTATAAATTATTTCAAAGGCAAAGCAGTGTCTTCTGTTGTGCGCTGTGATCTGTCTAAGGTTTGGTGGCAGTAATGGGGAATGCCTTTTCCAGGAAATGGTTGTGCTAACAGTCCTAGCCTTTTAAGACAAAACTTGGTATAAAATGCCACAATAGTTGCTGTTTCATTTAATGTTAAAGGTTTGAAGCATTTATTAAATTGAATCCAATTGCCTTGATCTATTTGTCTTTCTGTCTTACTGTTTTCTTCTACAACATCTATTTCAATGTAACTTGTTGGCACGTTACCTATATATTCTTTATGGCTTAACTCTTTTCATAAGTCTGCTAATCAGCCTGCTGGGTGATCCATGCTGTATGATATTATTATTAATAATGTATTAATTATATTATCAGGCTGAATTTTTAAAAGCTGGCTTGACCATTATTTTGATAATCCAAGAAAGGGCATGGTTTGCAATCTCAAATCTGAAATTAACTTCCATATGTAATTATATTAATTTATTTATTTTTTGAAACTTCAAATGGTGTGGTCAGCATTACTGAAACTACTTTTCCATTAAGTGGTCCTGGATTTATAAGATTGTTTGGAAAAGAAGCAAACTTCTTCGTGTATTTAAAAGCTTGAAATCATTATTTCAGTAGGTTATCTGTCTTGATTTGGTGTTATAACTGCAACCTGGGTCAGTGTTGCATAGTGGTTGAGTAGGTATGCCAACACTAAAGATATTTTCCTTAATAAAATTAGAGAGGCCTGATGTTTAAACATCGACTTGCAAATATTTTTTTCTTATGGTGCCCACAGAATTTCATCTTTACTGAATCATAGGTATCACAATATGATCTGAAAGTAAACAACTGCTCTCAGTGAAATGCACTGTTCTTAACATTGATACCACCAATTGTAATAACTAACAAGGGCTGGTGGTGAGGAGGGAAGTTAGTTGCAAGTGTGTTTACATATGTTTTAGTTCTGATCATGAAAAAAAAAACAGTTTAAGACAATGTAATGGCCTGGACAGGATCTATTGATTTTCTAAAAAGTGGTTCCAAGGCCATACATTGCTGCCTAAATAAAATCTTGCTTGTTAGGCTTTGAAAATAGCAATTATAAAGCTATTAATTTCATTTTTTCCCTGATTTTCCAGTAATTCTAGAGCAGTTTTGAGAGAACCTCTTAGTACTATACCCCGCCCCTCTAGACCATGTCTACTTGGGGCGGCTTACAAAATAAAACAAAACAGTATAAAAATATATATAAAATAATAAAATTACAAATTTCAATTACTACATGTTTTGAAAGGAAAAAATAGCACCTGAAATCATTGAGTTCTATATTACTGTAAATAACTTCTAGACAGAGAGAAACAAGAATTATACAGAGCACAAATACCTTGTATTTGCAGCTTGTAGTGGTTTGGAGCATGCTTGTTTAAAATGGAGGATTAAAAGGAGATGTGAAAAAGATGGATCTTTGGCTGCTACATACTGTTGCTGTATTGGCCCATGAAAAATCAGAACCTTAGGAATTCATCCCAAGTAGTCATATTTGCTGTCTACAAATGCTACAGTTGGGAAGGGATGGGTTTTAATTTATTGCAAGTACTCTGTTTCCCTGAAAATAAGACCTAGTCTGAAACTAAGCCCTAGTTTGATTTTTCAGGATGATTGTAATATGTCCTACCCCAAAATAAGCCCCAGTTAAGTGAAACCCTGCCCTCCACCATTGTGCAGCAACCAGAAGATGACATGACTGTATTTGGATAAACGGTCTGAAACTCAACATCAAAAAAACTAAGATCATGGCCACTGGCCCCATCACGTCCTGGCAAATAGAAGGGGAAGATATGGAGGCAGTGACAGATTTTACTTTCTTGGGCTCCATAATCACTGCAGATGGAGACAGCAGCCACGAAATTAAAAGATGCCTGCTTCTTGGGAGGAAAGCAATGACAAACCTTGACAGCATCTTAAAAAGCAGAGATATCACCTTTCCAACAAAAGTCCGAATAGTCAAAGCTATGGTTTTTCCTGTAGTGATGTATGGAAGTGAGAGCTGGACCATAAAGAAAGCTGACCGCTGAAGAATTGATGCCTTTGAATTGTGGTGCTGGAGGAGGCTCTTGAGAGTCCCCTGGACTGCAAGGAGAACAAACCTATCAATTCTAAAGGAAATCAACCCTGAGTGCTCACTGGAAGGACAGATCCTGAAGCTGAGGCTCCAATACTTTGGCCA